TTTCCCCATCCTTTGAATATCTCTTGAGTTGCTTATCTACAACTCTTTCATCATAAGCTCCTAGAGCAGTGATGGCGAACCTCTGACACACGAACTCATTTTTTTGGTTAATTTTTCTTTGTTAAATGGCATTTAAATATATAAAATAAATATTAAAAATATAAGTCTTTGTTTTACTATGGTTGCAAATATCAAAAAATTTCTATATGTGACACGGCACCAGAGTTAAGTTAGCGTTTTTCAAAATGCTGACACGCTGAGCTCAAAAGGTTCGCCATCACTGCCCTAGATGATGGAGCTAGTACACTGTACAGATTCCACTGTTCCTCACAAAAATCATTAAGTAGATTAAGTATATCTTCAACTTCTTTACTTTCATTTGATACACTGGCATCCCTCTTTTGAGCACCTGTTTAACATTACTACCTATTTCTAGCTGCCTCTTTTTCCCCCCTTACCTTTCTGTTGCTTCCTTCTCACCTCTGAAGGGAGTTAGTTATAATCAAATTTGATTTTTCAGTGTGTGTTATTTATTATAAAGCAAATACCATAAAGAACCAAATAATGTCCCAGTAGTCTGATACAGAGGATGTGTTCACAAAAGTTGACTCCAACAGAGCTTACACAATAAAATAATTTAACTAAATAATACAGTGTGCATAAAATAGGGCTTGTCTTAGATATAGTCATGCAAGTATGGATATACTTTATGCACAGATATATTATACAATGTAACTTCTTAACTCGGGGTCCACACCTGCAAGAGTAATTGGTTGTGTTTCAAGAGAGCTAAGCACTCCTAGAATCTGTAAACTTCAGTGTCTATGTGTTTTTGGAAGGAAGGCTCCATAGTTTTCATCAAATTTTCAAAAGTATTTATTGATTAAAAAAATATAAAGACCCACTTTTATAAAGAGCAAAGGGGTGGATAGAGAGGAGGAGATGCATGATTTGATTAATAAGAGTGAGGACATTTGGTATTGCATGTATAGTCAATGGACAACTTAATTTGTAAATTTCGATCATTACATATAATCACATCTAATTCATTTATACATAACTAGAGGCCCAGTGCATGAATTCATGCATGGGTGGTGTCCCTCTGGGTGGCCTGCGGGGATCGGGCCAAAACCCACAGTCCAATGCTGCCTGCAGCTCCTACCTGCTGCTCCCGCTCATGCCAGCCCCACTGTGCCTGCTGTGGGTTCCTGCCCAATCAGTCCCGATTGGGAGAGGCTCGCACCACTGCAGCAGCACTCACCAGCCGTGAACCCTGTGTCTGGTGTCCTCCTAAGGGGAGTGGCCTGCAGGATTGGGCCGAAACCAGCTCTCCGACATCCCCCAAGGGGTCCTGGATTGCGAGATGGAGCAGGCTAGGCTGAGGGACACCACCAGTGCACAATTGGGGCCAGGGAGGGACCACAGGAGGGCTCCAGGGTGTGTCCACCCCTTCTTGCTCAGCCCCAATCGGCCGGACCCCAGCAGCAAGCTAACCTACCGGTTGGAGCGTCTCCTCCTGGTGGTCAGTGCACATCATAGCAAGTGGTTGAGTGGCCTTAGCATACCATTAGCATATTATGCTTTGATTGGTTGAACAGTTGATGTGTCGCCGGACGACTGGACACTTAGCATATTAGGCTTTTATTATATAGGACTAGAGGCCCGGTGCACAAAAATTTGTGCACTGGGTGGGGGTGTCCCTCAGCCCCACTTGTGCCCTCTCACAGTCTGGGACCCCTCGGGAGATAATGACTTGCTGGCTTAGGCCCGCTCCCCGGTGGCAGAGGGCAGGCCCAATCCCTAGGTGCAGCCCCTGGTCGGGCTCAGAGCAGGGCGGATCGGGAGGTTGCGATGCCACCCTCAGTCACGCTCAGGGTGGGGCCGATTGGGGGGTTGGGGCGCCGCCCCCTGTCACACTCAAGGCAGGGTCGATGGGGAGGTTGCGGCTCCACTCCGTCACACAGAGCAAGGCCCATGGGGGGGAGGGGGCACCGCACCCTGTCACACACAGAGCAGGGCGGATAGGGAGGTTGTGCCTCGCCCCCTGTCACACAGAGCCGCAGGGCGATCAGGGGGTTTGGGTGCTGCCCCCTGTCACGCTGCTCCAGGGGCCAGGAGGCCTTGCAGCTCCGCTGATCCCAGTGCTGGCCTCGCTGGCTGCTCCGCTGATCCCGGTGCTGGGCCTCGCGGCTCCGCTTGACACAGGGGCAGTGAGGCCTCGCGGCTCCGCTGATCCCAGTGCTGGGAGGCATATTACCCTTTTACTATATAGGATAGAGGCCTGGTGCATGGGTGGGGGCCGGCTGGTTTGCCCTGAAGGGTGTCCTGGATCAGGGTGGGGGTCCCCACTGGGGTGCCTGGCCAGTCTGGGTGAGGGGCTGAGGGCTGTTTTCCGGCTGGCGAGTGACTGAAGCTTCCAACCGCTCCTTGTTTTCTTCTCTTTTTTTTTATTCTGGGCCAGCTTTAGCTCTGAGGCCTCGCTGCTGAAAACAT